AATATTTTGGACACTGATGAAACCTAGGAAGTTACAATGGGAAATATAACAGCTCCATATGACATATTAGACATTCACCAGTTTGGTTATCTGCAATATTGTTTGAATGGCGGATGTATGGTGTGAATTAAGTTCGGTGGTTAAAGTAACTTTTGGATGGGTACATACCGCTTTCTAAAAATAAGTGTGAAGCTGGAACTTGCTGAGCACTTCTATTTAATATTCACAACTTGGGTTCTAAATTGCGACAGGATTGCAATGTTCCTTTTGACCACACGTAATCAAGTTTACTACATTAGTAGAGTATCCATTTTTTAATAATTTGGTAATGACGACATCATTTCAAATCAGTGGGAAATTTCTAGATGCGGATTTCGGTGTAAAGATTTACATCAAATTGATTGTTTAAGGAGGATTTCTAAAGAACGATCAACATATTGGAAGGCATTTGTTAAACATCTGGTGTCTTTTGCTTCAGATTCCATTTAATGTTGTGTAAGACGTTCAGTAACAGGGACTACAACATCGTCGCAATGTCTGTAACGCGCCCAGCGAGTGGGGACCTAAATAGGGAGATGACAGTTAGTCCGTCCCTCTTAGATAGCCACACCAACGGTTAGCTACCAGCACACGATAGAAGAATAGCTGGAAGAACCGCATGTATTCCATACTACCGCATACAAACTCAGTGGGCTAGAGGTTGGGGAGAGTTGGAGTGGGGAAGGGGTTGGCTGCGAGAGGGTTGGTGTTGCCCACGGACTCACGGGCGTGCCTTGACGACGGCGAGAGTGCGGGAAGGGAGTGGAGGGCACATGTCCACGTTTCGATTCTGGTGCTGAAACTTCCCGTTCCCCTGCTTTAAATCGTGACTCAAAATGCGTGGACAGGAAAGAGCGAATATCTGCCAGTTTCTATTACTACCTCAAACATTGCTGGAACCGGGTGTGTTTAGAACGTGTTCGGTTTTAACTAATTCGGATCGCATAAATCAGGGAATGCCGATAAATGATACACGAAATCTACGGTTACCCTGCAAGAGTAGTTGGCCTGATTAAGCGTTTATCAGACACTGGGCTCTCCACCCTCCCACGCTTATGCAAGACAGTTCATGACCTCAAACACTTACCTCGTGCTACGTCAACCAAAGAGTAGGTATCGCAGTTATGGGCCCATTCCTGCAATCGCGTCTGAGAAGCAGGTATCTTCTTGTCATGATCGACTACTTTTCCAAATGGGAGGAAACGGCACCCCTTCCGAACCTAGAGGTTTACACCACTGCTGATGTCGTCATGTCTTACTGGGTCTCTCGCATCGGGGTTCCTCACCCATACATTCCAACCATTGACCCAACTTAGAGAGTCAGATTTTTAAGGATCTCTGAAAGATTTTGGACTGCGTGCAAAAGCGCACAACCCCATACCAGCCCATGGGTAACGGTCGAACCGAAAAGACAAACAGGTCACTTCATTTCCTCAACCGAAAACGATATCTGGGATCAGCTCACCCCACACTGCCTGCTCGCCCACAGATGTTCAGGTCACCAGTCTACCGGATTATCTTCCACCATCTTGGTGTTTGCTTGTCAACTCCAAACCCCTTCGACCTCCAGTTACCACCCCGATACCCGACACTAAATGTCCCGAGTGAATATGTCCCACAGCTTGTCAATATTCAACGCACGACTAGTAAACTCGCTTGATGACACCTCAACTCCAATCAAGAACACTAAAAACACATCTACGATCTCACGGCTCATGGAGCTCCCTATCAGCCAGGAAATGCCGTGTGGCTTCACCAAACATACCCTAACCATGGTAAGTGCACGAATCTTGACAACCGCTATATAGGCCTCTTCGTGGTTGTTCAATCATTCACTACCAACACCTACCGCATCTGCCCCATTTCTAATTCATTCGCCCTTCCTCCTGCAGTACACTTCAAGCGCCACACACTCGGACTTGAGACGACTCACAACACTGATACACAAGGTCTGGTACCAAAGGCAGACATTTCAGTCCACTACACTGGCGAAGTCCCACTCAACAGCCCCTCACCTCACCAGCACTGAGAGCAGTGCTCTTCATAACTAAGAGAGCTCTGTCACGCACGCCTCCCTCCATGTCATCGAACACATTTCATGCCTCATAACTTCTTCCAATTTACTTACCCTCTGAGAGCGGCTCAACAGCTAGAATGTGGATCTTAGCGCATCTCTCAAATTCTGCCGTCAAGTTGGCATTATCACCCATCTAATTGTCTCGTAATCATTCCTCGAATAAAGTCGTCGAGAAGCTCCCAGTCTTCGTACCATACTGTGCTCCGTGTGTTTGTTTTGAACCTACATCTCGTGTCGACTCATACATATTTCTGGGAATTTATCTTAGTTCGTATCCCCGTTCGCAATTTACATTTATCAAATTTTGACAGAAATGTGTGACTAAGTAGTGTACATTTCTATTACACTGGTAAGCATGAAAAACTCACGTATCAAGGCTTCCAAAAACTATTTTCCAATTGCCATCGTTATACAGATGAAGGTTTTTCATTTTGACAAACTGCAAAATGTGTTCGTTTTTGATAAGGTTAGCGATGACATTGTTGCATATGTGTAAATGACATTCAGAGCACTCAGCACAGGGTAATAGAAAATATTTAAGCTAGCACGAATTTACATCTAGGAATGTACCACTCAGGATTTGTTAATGTCAAACATTGCTAAATTTATGCAAATGCTAATGTTTATAGTGCAACAAATACGCAGGATTAGAATTTCTGCATTTTCTGAAATAACCGACGTTCGTTGATGACAAGTTGTGATGATTCCACACTGTATCACAATCAAGTCATTCGGCACTTATGAATGGACCATAGTATTTCAATACTGTGCAGTGACCATTATTGCCTTGAACCTGTTATATTTAACGATAGGTAATCGTTTAGCGATTACTTGTTCATGTTTATGATGCATAAGTGTGAGGTTGTACAAATTTGATGCGTTAGTAAAACTGCGAGCTGGGGACAAACAGATTGCTAGACTCTTAGAATTCCAGCATTGCATATCGAGTAAAAAGTGGAGCAATGACAGACATGCTAAAATTGTAAACCACACAGTAAAATTTAAAAAATGAACATTTTTTATGTAGGTTCGCTCAAGCACGTGACGGCATTTGTTGTAATTAGATTATACGTCATCCTGACATTGTAAATTCTAAGAAAATCGCAACCTTCACAAATTAGTAAAGAATATATTAATATTCGTGACTATCTTAGACACAATTCAAATGGTCATTTTTACTAGTGGTTGTGATGGTTCCAAAAAATTACCGATATAAATGAGAGTTAAATATCTACAACATATTTTTTTATATTGGATTTAGTTTGGTAGATAATTAGGTGAGGTTTCTTTGCTTTTCAAAGGGAGGCACATACATCCCTTCATGGGAAGAATGCATGAATCGTGAAAATAATTACTTAGTCACTTAGTAAACCGACAGCATATCCTTAATTGACAAATTATGTTAATGGATCTGTTAAAACAGGTATTTTACTCCTCAAGAACAGAGTTAGTGGCAGTGATCAAATCCCATAGTAATCCTTAAACCCTTTTCAATTATGCTTAGGACTGAAATGTAAGTTTGTTTTGTATGTTTTAATTTAAATTAAGAACTCCATAAACCCAAACCATCACCACGGATTGTTTAAATAAATAAGAAATCAGTGAGGTATGGGTCTTTTACCACCCGCAGCCAATCAGATTAATCACCATCCTTGCGAACGGAAGCCATATTTGTCTGAAAATTTGTCTTAAAATAGGGATTAATATGAAGTGATCTATGCAATTAGATGACGCTTAAGTATTTGGTAAGCTATAATACGCCTGGAAATTCACTTTTGTGGCAGTCCCATATTTTGATATTTAGTAGTCTGTATGTAAACTTTTTGGCACGCTTTTGTTCTTTTTTTAAAAAAAAATCGTATTTTTATCTATGGATTTGGTCTCTTTTGGTTTTATGTGGCAGTATACTTGTATTAATTTTGCGAAATCCGAGTTTCGGTCCCTCTGTTTCGCAAATTTGTTGCTCGGTGCTTCGTGTAATTATATTTATATCCCCATTTTAGGATAACATTAATGGATCAAGACGGTCACCCAGATTTGTCCCATGGATCTTTGGCGTACCAAAATAACAACTTTACACACTCAAATACAGTCACAACACTGAGTGCTAACTATCCAAATTCCGGTGACCGTTCTCATCTACAACAGCAGTACAGTGGAAATTCGTCCCAACCCTTACAGCACAGTTTGACAAATCAGAGCCAAGATCCTCCACTGTGCACATCTGAGCTCTCCAATTCTGTTACGGGCCCACATTGTTCCTCGATAAGTCCTCAGTCTACAGCCTGTAACAATTCTAGGCCTACTCCTCCTCAAGGTTCTGTTTACATGACTGCTCAGTCCTGCCAAAGCTTGAACACGTATTCTGAGGTCAACAAAGCACCTGCCCAGCCATTTTACAGCGTCAATACTCCTACCGCATCATCGGGGCAAGGGTCTATACCATCTTCGTATGTCCAACATCCCCACTCGCAAGCCACTCCAAGTGCAGCGTCACGTTTCAACACCCAAACATACTCTTCTCCAATGACGAATTCTTCACTGCAGACGTCCCAAACCTCTGGGTCATCTTCCACTACAGACCTAGAAAAACGGCAGCTAATTCAGCAACAGCTCCTCCTGTTGTTGCACGCTCAATGTTGTCGTCAGGAACAGGCGCATTCCGCTCCCTGCACTACCCCTCACTGTCGAACCATGCGAAATGTCCTCCAGCATATGAAGACTTGCACCGAAGGAAAGAATTGTCGAAAACCCCATTGTGCATCTTCTCGACAGATTATATCCCACTGGAAGAATTGTAGCAGCCGCGAATGCCCTGTATGCGAGCCACTAAAAAGAGGACATTCAAGAGCCCCTCCTCAAAGGCAAACTGGTTCAGTTGCTGTTCAACCATCTCAAGCAAATGAGGTGAATGGTGTTGCCACCACCCCATCTCCTGCAGTAGTTCGCTCTCCAATGCCTCAAAATATCAGACGTAGTGCTCCATTGTCCACCCCCACTACCACTCCCACCCAGGTTCGGATGAGTGGAGCTTATCCTCAGACCATGCCCAATGTCAGCCCTGCGTCTAGTATGTCTCAAGGTAGTAGTGGCAGTACTGATCAGACTGACTGGCGAGCTGGGGTCAATCAAGAACACCGAGACCACGTTGTCCGTAGAATGTAAGTCCCAAGTTATCACTTACCTGTTTTTTTAGAGTCAAATATATTCTTCCACAGCCAGATCCTGCTGCTTACAGTGACCCTCGAATGGCAAACTTGATAGAATATGCAAGGAAGGTGGAGAATGCGATGTATGTCGCTGCGAAGGATAGAGCTGAGTATTTCCACCTACTGTCAGAGCGCTGCTACAAAATATACAAAGAGCTAGAGGAAGCCCGCCGGCGACGCAGAAGTGCCGCTTCCGTGTCATCCAATAACACCACACCTACCTCAACACTCCCCAGTGACCCAGGAACAGGCAGCAATCGAGTCGTTAATTCTTCTGGCAGTTCTTTTTCTGTTAATTCTACAGAACCATTGAAGCCCACTCCTGCCAAAATTCCTCTTTCCAACAGCACAGAATTTCGGCCTGCCAACACAAACTCCGTAGTGGATGTTAAGCCGGAAGCGTGCTCAAAAAGTTGCGGCACTTTCAAGAAGGAGGAAGACGGAAAGTCATTTACACCGGACATGAGTCAGTCCAGTGTGACGGGGAACGATGTTAAGAAGCCTAGTGTCAAATCTGAGGACTCCCTTCAATCTGTCGGCTCCCTTTCTAGTGGTGGTGCGCTGGGTTCTGGCGTTGACGGCTCTAAAGTTGACGAGTCTAAGTGGAAAAAGTGGTCCCGTGAGGAGCTTCTGCGCCACTTCCTGCGCCTTCACGAAGAAGTCTACAGCGACAAAAATGCAGAGTGGTTTCGTGACCCTGTGGATCCTGTCGCCTTGCACATACCTGATTACCCGGAAGTAATCAAGCACCCAATGGATCTGACAACAATACGAAATAATTTAGAGGACGGAGTCTACAAGGATCCATGGGAGGTGCTAGATCATTTTCGTCTTATGTTCAATAATGCTTGGCTTTATAACAAGAAGAATTCCAAGGTTTATAAAATGTGTACCAAAGTAAGATCGAGGCTTTGTATTACCTTATGTTTAGTTGTCGGAACTTTTTGAGAGCCAGGTTGATCAAGTTATGCAAGCGATGGGGTTTTGCTGTGGACATGAGTACTCATATCAACAAATCCTCTACTGCAGTTCCTCCAATGTATGTACCATCGGTAAAGACGCCTGCTACTATATGTATACCAACACGTAAGTTGTTACCTCAGTTTCCATAATGCCTTGTCTTAGCGACAAAAGGGTACTTATCTGTGATAACTATTATCAATGCGAAAAATGTTTCAATGAGGCGGGCGATGAAATAATGCTTGCAGACGAGGCCAATCAGACTCCTGTGTATGTTTGCTATTTCATATACTTGACATGATTCTTCAGGCCAATCAGGAAGGAACTATTCAAGCGGAAAAAGAATAATGTTACAATAGATGAAATTGATGTTTATTGCAAAGAATGTGGCCGTCGTTGGCACAAGGTTTGTGCTCTTCACATGGATGAAATTTGGCCGACTGGGTTCATCTGCCCAGGATGCCTTCGAGAACGTGGCCAAAGACGCAAAGAAAACCGATTCACAGCCAAGAATTTGCCAACCAACAAGCTTAGCAACTTCCTTGAACGGCGGGTCAACAACTTCCTGAAGAAAAAAGAGGTCGGCACCGGCGAAGTGACCATCCGCGTCCTAGCCAGCTCTGACAAACTTGTTGAAGTCAAACCTCTTATGCGCGGCCGATTCACAGAGAGCGGGGAACTCTCTGAAAGCTTCCCATATCGCCTTAAAGCCATCTTTGCTTTTCAGGAAATTGACGGACAAGATGTTTGCTTTTTTGGGTTGTACATTCAAGAATACGGGTCAGAGTCCCCTCAACCAAATCGCAGGCGTGTCTATGTGGCCTACTTAGATTCAGTCTTTTACTTCCGCCCCAAGCAATACCGGACTGATGTTTACCATGAAATTTTGGTTGGGTATTTGCACTACGCTAAGCAATTGGGTTACACGATGGCCCATATTTGGGCTTGTCCTCCGGGCGAGGGAGATGACTACATATTTCACATGCATCCAGCTGAACAAAAAATCCCAAAGGCCAAGCGTCTCCAGGACTGGTATAAACGCATGCTACAGAAAGCCATGATAGAGGGCATTGTGGTTGATTTCAAGGACATACTGAAGGATGCCATTGACCACCATCTGGTATCCCCCACGGAGATTCCCTACTTCGAGGGCGACTTCTGGCCAAATACTTTAGAAGAAATTTTGCAGGTTTGCCGACTTCCGTTGTTTTCATAGATTTAACTCACTTATGTGCTGATCAGCCTAAACCTGCTACTTCCGCACTCTGAATGTTTCGTGTCAAGGTAAAATGAGGCTCATAGAGATTGTTGTTTTACTTGCTATGTGTAGTACTTGTTTGCTGCTGCTGCTGCTACTACCTTCACAGTTATGCATTTTGTATTTTCACCAAGCGACTTAGCAAGGTTTTCCTCATACAATTCTTTTTGCACTGCGGAGTCCACTTTTAACTTTCGTTAGGTTGATGATCGGTGATTTGGATGACATCTACGCCACGGTAGAGATGATTAGAGCTCTGAGCACTACAGATTCAACGGTTCACCATGGTCTAGCTGCAACAACCTTAACTCTTGGTGTTCATCTATAAGTAATCAATGTCTACAACTTGGCAACATGCAGTTTAAGTCAAAGTTAGTACCTCAATTATGCCAAATTTTTCACGAAATTTAACAATCTTAACATCGACTGTAAAACCTGTGTTTTTTCCTGTTGGGGGTAGTTTTTGCGCTAAACGTATTCGAATGAATTCAGTGAGATTGGATTCCGTTATTATCACTGTGACGTTCTCCGCAGTTGGCCTGTATTGCCTCGTCGTCCTTCGTGTGGTCGAGCATTTAAGTTGCATCCATCCTTAATCCCTAAATTCGATAGCGTAATCCAGCCAACGAAAACACTCGGTTTTGGTTCTGTTTAGAATTCGTCAAATTTACTGTCCATTGTTTAGATTTTTTGATGGTAAATTCGGTTTTAACGCGAAAGTAGCGACTTCGTTTTTTGTCGTCAAGGTCCTGTGTACTATCAGCTTTTTGGTATAAATAAACTAATGGTAGTGGAACTGGTTGACACATTTCCTGTCAAGACCACCTGTTCTACAAAATTCTCCCAAATAAGCATTCGCTGATTCACTTCGGTGGGCATGGCTACAGTTGTCACCACAAGCTCTCTTCGTAATTAACCGTTAATGTTTTGTCCTTTTTCTGTCATCTTTTGTGAGGAAAATTATCGCTGACTAATCAACTGAACTGATTTTTGAACAATTTAGGTAAATGTTTCGTGAACTGTTGTTCAAGTTGTGTAGTAATTGTTTATTTCTGCCTAATCTTTCTTATATACTTATAGAACTATAGTAATGTCAGTATTTATAATATGATTGAATTGTTTCATTCAGGATCTGGATAAGGAAGAGGAGCGTCGACGCCGTGAGGAGGCAATGGCAGAAACTGAAGATGACGATCCAGACGGCTCACGTGACCGGGATGGTAGCCTCGGTGATTTGGACAAGCGATCCGGCAAAAAGAGGGCCAAGAAACGCAAATGCAGCAAAAAAGCGGGTGGCTCCGCTGTCAATAAGCGCAAAAAGTTAGACGGTCCAGTAGACTGCAACACGGAGCTCACGCGAAAGGTTTACGACACGATGGAGAAGCTGAAGGAGATATTTTTTGTTATTCGCCTGCACCGAAACGGCGCAACTGCTTCCCTCCCGCCAATTGTCGATCCGGATGCCCTGATATCCAGCGAATTAATGGACAGCCGCGACTCTTTCCTCCAGATGGCCAGGGAGAAGCACCTCGAGTTCTCTTCACTTCGCCGGGCCAAGTACTCCACCTTGGTCATGCTCTACGAGCTGCATAACGAGGCTAGACAGAGCTTCCTCTACACCTGCAATGTTTGCAAGGCACAGATCGTAACCCGATGGCATTGCAACGAGTGTGACGAGTACGACCTCTGCAACCGGTGCTACAGACGAGAAAACCATCCTCATCCAATGGAGCCGTATGGTCTGGGCATTGAGGAGGAGGGTTCTAGCACCAACGGCGAAACCAGTGGCGAGCGTCCAGCTGGCACCGTCGACCGGAAAGCCAATTTCGAGCCGTGTATTAGGGCATTGGTTCATGCCTGTCAGTGTCGTGATGCCAACTGCCGCGTACCCACTTGTGTCCAGATGAAACGTGTGCTGGGACACACTCGTTCCTGTTTAAAACGCTCCACCGGTTCGTGCGCACTGTGTCGCCAGCTGTTTAGCATCTGTTGTTTGCACGCCAAGTCGTGTTCCGATGGTCAATGTCAAGTCCCTCTCTGTCCTCAACTGAAGGATCGCTTCCGTCAGCAGCTGATTCAAAAACGACGTCAGCAAAACAAGTCACTTCAGAGGAGAACGAATCTTACTCGGGGTGCCACTGGTACAGAGTCTTCTGTCGCCGGGTCTGCTTATCACCCTCACTATGGTGCCCAAACAACCCCTGTCCAGGCGTCGTCTGTACCCTCGGAGATCTCTTCGGATGTCGGCGACTCTCGTCAGGTCTCGCGTACCTCATCTTTTGCAAGTTCTGATGGCGGTAGAGTCGGCGGGTTCCAGTCCATGTCGGTCAATGGTGGAGTGTCAGTGGCCTCATCTCCGCGGGTCATTCCAACTCCTCTAGTCACGCCACAAACCCAACAGGTCCCTAGACTACCTGTTTCATCCTCACAGATAGCCTGGAGGGACGGCCAAACAGCCTCCTCACAGCAGTCGGGCCAACTACAACAGCAGCAGACCATGGCGTCAGCTTCGTCGTTCCGACCTGGTGGCGGTAGTGGCGGTGGAACCCTTCTAGCACAGGATATTTCGGCTATTTCTGGAAGCCCAACTCCTGAACAAATAGACCAGGTACGCGAGGTGGTGGGACTCATCAGGACGACAAATGCTCCCATCGAGGAACAAAATAGACAGGTAGGCGTTGGAGATTCGGCGTTTTCGTCGTTGCGTAGGGGACTTGTCATTTTTATGCCTCTTGTTGCTTTGCTTTATCACTTTCCCATGCTATTTCTTTCGCTGCCATATACTTGTTTCAATTAATGAGTCAATTATTGCTTAACACATGCTGAATCCCCTAAAGCAAAACTCCCATCTGTTGTAGATTTGTCCCTGTCGCTGACTAATTTGTCGTCGGAAATAAGCTAACATTCACTCTCGTTAATAATGCAACAGCCCTGAGATTGCAAATATTTAACGTGAATTGGCGTCGGCCGTATTTTCTATATTCAAGTCCCAAAACTTGTTAATTGAACGTTGTCTATCTTACTCAGCACACTGACAAGAGTCATTGTTGAATCGACGATTACCGATCGAAGCCTCATTCATTTGTACAGAGCTCGCAACCCCCTAAAGTTTCAATTTTTCGGTCACTGTCGTTTTATTGGCTGGTTATTAGTGTGGTGGTCGGTCTGAAATTCCTAATCGATAGGTGCAACGAGTTCATGTTTGGCGTTGAACGTTACGGAATCGCAGTCATCTAATCTTCCAAACTAGTCAACGTGTATAAGCCAGGAGTCGAAAACTGGTCCTATTCCTTGAATGAAACGCATGAAAATGTACCTCATGCAGCAGGCTCAACATGGCTCTGTTTCGTGTCTGTTGCTCCAAATTTCTGGTTATTAGTAAGTGTTACGGGCTGATTTTCATTCAACAGTATTTGGTGAAATCGCAGTGGTGCTAATTTAACATCCAAGCGCCGATATTATCAACTACAGCAGTCTACTTATCATTTCTCTCTGGGAACGCTAATAGAGTACTCCATCTCTCGCGTTTTTGCATGTGGACGTGACAAACATCGGTGTTTACTTTCTCTGGCTTCCAGCAATTCTTCTTAAATCAAATTTGCTTGAACCTGCTTTAGTTTTTCAATTGGATTAATCGCCATCCGGAATACCGACCAGCTTTCCTTGCTTTGCGTGGACGCAACAGACAACTGTTGAGCCAAGGTCAACGTCTGGCGCAGCAACAAGGTGCTAACCAACAGTCGCCTGGGGGTCAAGTCCAATCCACCGTCAACGTCGCTTCTCTCCCGTCCTCCTCCTCCTCCACACCATCCTCCGCCTCCGGTGCTCTGTCTTACAACCAGACCGTCGAATCACTTCCTACCTCTGTGACTTCGCAGCCTAAGCAAGTTGCTCTTAGCGCCACTGCAGTGGGTCAACGCCAGTTTGCCCAGCAGCAGACACAACAGTTCACCCCCCAACTGAGTGATCAGCAGCAACAACAATACGTTATTGCCCAACCAATGCGGGTGCGTACTCTTCCAGGCGGCTCTGCTGTAATCCAGCAGCAGGTTCCCTCCCAAACGCAACACCCAGGTGATCAGCAGTGGGTTGTTACTCGGGTTCGCACGGCTCCAGGTGGCGGCGGTGGTCCAGCACTCTCTGGACAGCAGCATTCGGCTAGTCAGCAGCAAATCTACTCCAACAACAGTCCTGGTGGTGTACCATCCTCCACGACTGTGTACACGACGACTGGCGGAGGCGGCACGACTCTTTTGACGACCATCGGAGGACCCCAACAAACACAACAACACCATCCTCAGCAAATAATTTCACAGTCAAGGCTTATTCCGACGGTGACAACGGGTGGTGGTGGTGGTGTTAGCGGTGCGAGAGTTGCTGGTCAGCCAACAACGGTCGTTCACTTCCGCACTGCAACACAGCAGCAGTTGTCCCAATCTCAGCCTCACATCCTCGTCGCTAATCCGGTGACCTCTACTCCACAGCAGCGTCCTATCGTGGCTCTGATGCAGCAGCCCTCTCCGCAACAACAGCAACAACAGCAGTTACTGAAGACTCAACAACAACAGCAGCAGCAGCAGAATCCTCCACCGTCCTCCAGCAACCCCTCCGGCTCGTGACTTTAGCTACATTCATCCAACCCTGATCACTCCTTCACTCCAACCCCAACTAGAGGTTGTCAGTACCATCGCATTTGTCTTCTATATATTCCGTTTGTTTTGGCTTACCCGTGTGTATGCGTGCAACGCCCGCTATATTTACGCGGAAACACATTTTTTACCTGTACTCTTACGTGCTAATCATGTACCCCACACTTACAACCGCCAATTTACCACAAACGTATATTCGAGCGGATATGGCCCCAGTAAGTTGATTGTGCGTGCATACATGCCCCTATTCCTCCTCCTCCTCCTCCTTTCCGAGCGCCTCCTCACCCACTCACACACTACGAAGGGCCACCCACCCCCAGGTTGACCGAGTGGTCCGCCATCCGGGCACACGCGCTCCCCTTTCCTGGTTCTCTCCTGCGAATTCTTCCTCTTTACGTGTATGCACTGCAACCACCAACTTGTACATGTCTCCATCTCCCGCACAGTCGATGCGTGTCAGTGGCCCTGTCCTTAGTGGTGCTACAGTAAGATATGTGTATATAAGTCTCTCTCTATGCCCTCGCCCAGTTTTTATGGTCTGTTTTCTTATGTGGGTTGAGGTTGAGATGCATAATGTGAAAAGAAGCCCCGTCACGTCTCTTCTATCAATGAAAACTTAGCATACCCACCCACCCACCCGAATGTAGAATTAAGACCGCATCCTCCCTCCACCGCTAACCTCGCCCTCGCCTCGCGCACCACCGTCAACACCCTCACTGCCACCGCGAATCTGTCGTGCGCGCTCTAACGCCTGTAAATTGTTTTCTTTTGCCTGAGACAAATATTTCTAATGAACTCGGCGCCTTTGTTCTGTGGGTAGCGTCATGAGCTGTCGTGCGTTGCGCGGCCCCAACGTCAGTTGTCTTTTGAAGCAGCCCAACGTGGACTCGACGTAGCTTCTAGCAAACTTCCCACGTGTCAGAGCATGAACTTTGATTTTCGCACATGGCAGCTTTTATTTCCCCAAAATAATTCAACACTTCGGTTCCCCGTTTCACTCTGATTTTGGTGTAGTTAATGGCATTAAGATCTTGGTCACAGTTGTCGTCAACAAGGGTGGTTCTTTGGAATGCTGTCAGTCCTCAGTCTGGGGGTATAACTTGTCTAGTCAAATGAAGTGTTGATATCTAGTGATATTTTGTAACTCAAGGGTCGTCTGGTTCTAATTACCTGGAGTTTTTCATTAACTAGGACTAGTTTTCTCAGTTATTATTCTTTTATAAGGAATTCCGATGAAGAAGCCGTGGTGGTATTCAAACCTAAGAACCAGTTAAACTTGGACGAATTCGATACCCCTGCTGATTCGTTTGGACAGATGCTGGAAATCGGTTCTATGGGTAACGGCCTTGCTTAGCTAGAATACTTGGCCCTGTACCTATGCAGATTTGGTCGAGATGTGTGGGGTGCAATGCACGTGGTGTGGGTGCCCATCAAACGTCCACATAACACTTTCCTGCATGGTTCCTGGTCTCAATTACGGCATCGTAGCTATGTATCGTAAGCTGAGAACATACAGGTTGACTGTACCCCCTTAAAAGCCAACCAGTTGTTTGAAATAGCCAGTCTGCTAACGATTTTATCAATGAGTGCAACCATGTGGCCACTCGAATTTGTTTAAGTCCCCGTACCAAAACGGTCGGTGTGTCAAAGTGGTGGGTAATCAGTACGGTCTGGGATTGTAACAAAAAAAAACTAAAAGTTACTCCTCACAGCTTTGCTTCGTTGTTACAGGGTTAAATTTTGTCTGTGCTGAACTCTTAGACCGGAAAATATCCGCTTGGTGTAGTCGCCAACATCTCCGTACGCTTAAGCTATGCTTTGGTGAGTATGTGGCTTTATTTTGCTGATAGCTGGTTATTCGCACTAATGGAGCACAAAACGTTTTTCAACTTGGGAAGTTGACTTCCCCGCTGTTAGGAATTCTGTGCATGCTGGAAGTTGTCACTAATGTAGTCCCCTGCGATCTAGGACTGAAATGCATTTGATTGAGTTTGTGTAATCGTGTCGGCAGAAGGGATACCGTTGGATATTTGCTGATTGCTAGTCCTAAAGTGTTAAACCCACTGCTTGGAAATTCGACTGTTTTCTAGCAGTGTAATGCTTGGTGATCCCAGGTACTACACCTCAAACTCACCTCTAGCCCACTTCTCATGTAACGATTCTCTCCTCGCTTGAGACGTGTGATCCTTATGGCTTTTTTATGGTGCAGAAGTTATTTTCCACTTATGGCATATTTTCTTGCACCATAAAACTGCTAGTGCACTTTATTGGGTCTGCTTCGACCTTGGGAGACTAACTTCACGTCAGTTCGTGCTTACTCTGTGTGTGTGTGTGCGCGCGTGGGAGGAGCGAGTGTGTAATTTTCGAGTTCGGCGATTGGCATTTCCGTTTTACTAATAAACTCGATGCGTTATTCGACTGATGAATTCCCAACACCGGGTCTATGTCCAACCAAGGACAGTCCAAAAATGGCCAAAGGTGGTGGTCGCGCTAACAATACCCTTCCTGCGCACAATCCTACCAGCAATAAAGGTGATGTTTCTGGTAAGCACCCTCAACGACCGCCCAGACCGAAATTCCTGCCAGCACGGTAGAATCGCCAGCATCCAAGTCGCCTGCGTTCCCCCAGCCAAGTCAAGTACCTCTCTCAATTTACCAAGTGGTGTTCAGCACTTAGGGACAAAAGTAGTACGTTTTAGTGGGGGCGTTTCATGATTCCACCACACTGCTAACATGTCGGTTGTCAGTATTGGCTCAAGCTACGCTGACCATTCTCTCTTGCAGCCGGTGCGTCTGACTCATCGACAACAATTAATTGTGCGTAGGCTATTAAACTTAAACGCTTAATTAGGGAGAACCCCAAATTCGTGCTTCCTAATCTGTCTGCAGGGTGTGGTTGCGCCCTAATGCTTGGTGTCTGGCCAATTCCGTGTGCCAGACAAAAGCAACTGCCACGACATCGTGGGCGACAGAATCAGAATTGCCCCCCCTCCCACGGGTGAAACCCCATAACTCGCTTCCCGGATGTCGAATCATCTACGACACCGGTTCCACACGCATTCACCTACTTTCACAGGCCATTGAGGTGGGAATGAGCTATCTCGTATTTGCTGACACACAGTGAATCAGAACCTGACCATCCGTTGCCGCTCGACCTGCTGCTTGGTATAATCTCGCATTTCTTCTATAAGAAATTGTGTTAGCTTTTTCAAATATAAATTTCGACTTCCAATTCAATAATCATATTCAATGGTCATAGCTTTAGCAGCAATCAATTTGCCGTTTGCATGTCCAGTCAGATTTGAGAATTTGTGAATTCGTAACGCTCGTTTCAGAAATTGTTCCTGCCTCGTCTGACAAGCGGCAGCAGTCAATTTTTTGAAAAATCTAGTGATTTACTACTTGTCAATTTAAAAAAGAGCATAATTTTCTCGAATACAGGCTAAATTGTTAATCATGTTATTACATGTAATGAACAAACATCTGTGTGCCATGTTTGTCAGTCGAACACCGTTCTAGTTGAGGCACTTAGGTGATTTAGAACTGTTCGAATCTTGGTGGCCGTTTTCGAAAATTTCCTCGTGCACGACGGACAATCTTTGTCTATATCCGTTTTTGTTCGTTGGCAAACCTAGGCAACTGTTATTAACTACTCGGATGCACAATTACTGCTGCTGTTGCTGTTCATTTTTCGCCGTAACATTGCTTAGAGAGGGTGCGAATCTTCGAGCTTTTTTGAAGTATGTGTCAAGCCATATGCCTCACTATAAACGCGAATAAATCTGGGCAATTGGGCGTTAAATTGCGACAACCTTCACAAGAAGGCCTCGCTGTACGTACTCAACTTGCAGACATATCACCAAGCACTACCTTTACCAGTCCATGAAATTGTTGCTACGACATGCTAGGAGTTGCATTCGTAACATGATTAGTTAGAACAAACTGATGTTGAATTTGGCTTCATTCCGTCACCGTTCAAAGTCAACTTATTACTCCGCCAGTTTACACGGCTGTGTATTACAACCTAGCGTATTCTTGATATTGCGAGAGTCGATCCCACTCGCCTTTTATAATTTATTCATTTGGGCTAAAAGCAACCACGCAGGTAACCCGTCATTTGACTCTAATCGGTCGACTGCCGTTTGTGAGTTATTCTGGTGCACGTGAATCCACGAAATATCATGAAAATGACCAATAGGAAATTGAAAAATTGTGGATATTCCAAGAATGCATTCTACCATCAAATGTGTTTTTTTAGCTTCGTGACTGCTCTAAACCTACATAGTGTAACACCACACTAGCGAACAAGTACGAGGTAGCAGTATTTTAAGAGGCCTAGAATTGCATTTTCTTTATCCTGAAGTTGAAATTGTTGAACTGGAGAAATCTGTTGTCTCAAGAATCATCTAACGCTGAAAGATTCGTCCAGCTGCAATATCCTTAAAGAATTCATTTTTAACACGCATAATCGATGAATGCTTCATACGATGGTAGGGTCATTGTTGAGATGGTCTTGTCTTGAATTGCGTTGATTTACTTTTGTTAATACGGTTGATCTATTCTCCACTACACTGTCCCCTTTTCACAGCTGGCTATCAGCCGAGCGGAACCAAAACTCACAGCTAATTGGCGCGAAAGGGGGGATCCTGGATTATAACTGCATGTGATAAAATTCACCTATGACACACGGACGACAACGACGTGGTCGAGCTCTCGAATAAGCCCTTGTTTCCGCGTCCCTCTGCTGCCTCAATCCTTGTCGGGTACTTGGTGCAATCGAGTGCTGTAACAACAGCCTCAGCAGTGTGAGTTTCAGATAGCTAGACCTCTAACTACCCAACGCACCGTTTGCTCTTCTAAATTCACTTACCCCTTGGATTATGAAATTGCTAAATAGCCCTCGTGCTTAACGAACAGAATTATAAACTGATGTGAGGCAGTATGCCAACTGAGAACGTTGTGCGGATCCAGTCTCACCGTTTTGACCTTGGGTCGCGTAGTGTGGGGGAACGAGGAGGGTGGCCTTGGGCTTGACCAATCACATCAAACTAAGCTGACAGGCAGCCAGACGTGAAAGTCGGTGAGGAGTTGGATTAACATGTGCTTCAAGTAAATGAAGGTGGTGTTCGATGAAGCTGATTTAAAACTGTATCAATGAGTTTGCGTGGAAAATTGCTTCATCAAAAGAGAACTTGAAAATTTCGCGCGTCAGATTGAAACAACTATTTGCGTTATTGAAAGTGGTCTGAAAAAACGGATTATAAAAAGGACCAATGTGTTTTAAAATGCGTAAAGGCTATCGATTTCCAATAACCTTTTCTTGACGCCCCAGTTAATGATTTTCTATTAAAGCTGCTAATTTACTAAAATCTATCCCACACCATTCGGGCCAAAATTCTCGAGGTTGGTTCCTACTGATCACTTGTGTCAAGGTCGTCGATGCATCGCTTAATCAGTGCCTACATTTAGTTTACGAAAGTCATAAATTGCAGGTAAACATCAGCGTTTCACTTATGGTTGGTGGTGGCGGCGGCAATTAGAGTTTTGAATTGAGGAAATGAAATATCCAAACAGGATCAGGTTCACACGTCCATTTGTGTATTCAATACATTCAACTAATTTTATACAAAACCCGCAAGTCTGCAGTCTACTTAAAATGTAAGTCAGTGCCAGTAAATGTAACGAGAAATCAGTGGTATGCTTTGGATGACTGCCCCGAAACTGATAAATAAGCGTTAATTGGGATGTTTTTGAGGGCTAGAAGACTCAAAGGAGCCTTTTTTGATCCTGTCAAATTCCCACAGAATAAGGTGGAGTGGGCCAAGATTAAGTCAGCTATGCGACCATAGGCAGCACTTGGCGAACAAAAGCCTAGTCTAGTTGACTCGGTACTGTCACACATCCGGTGACTCAAGCAATATATAAAAACTTCTTCGACAAAATTTCCTCAGCCGCAAATCACACCACAGATCTACTTTTTAATGTGGTCTAGCTGCGTCCAATAAGATTTTTTGTATCGATGGAAATTATTACATGGTAGCGGTTAACTAAAAATTGCTTATTCCGCAAAATACGCCACTGGACATTACTTTATTGGTGCCTTGGCATATATTGACAAACATTTCGTAAGAATATTCGATCTCATTTATCCGCGTACATGGATCAAGGATACGGGCATATTGCAGGAATTTAATGGTATTAATTGTCCTCACCGTTTTTTGTTGCTAACATCAAAAAGTTAGCTTTCTGAGAAGCGAGTAATCTGCCGCGTTGTCTACACCCCGTCATACGTCACTATAACCACCCCACTGACAAATCGGAACGCGTGGGTAGCAAATAACTAGGCATTGCGGGCAGACAGCCACTAATTTGCAGGTGTCAGAGTTATCGCCTCATCGGATCCCACTCCATACCCTCAGTCTAGACGTGATGGCATTTTTTTCCGGATGTTGAAATCACCGTTTGAGAAGGTCAAATGTAGAAGAACCCTCGATGGCCCAATCGTACCGTCGTTACGACACATCCGCTTGAGGAATGTGCCTGCGGAAAATCTGGTTTTCACTTCACACAGATGCAAATCGACAGCGAACTTTGAGTCGGGTGGAATCGGTTTTTATTGAGTTATTTCTAAGTACTTCACTTAAACTGGCCTTTCGTTGACAAATAAATCTAATTTATTTTATTTTTCAACTGAATGGTTGGATTTTCGCTTGAATTGTGACGGTCCATGCTCAAAAGATGTGCGTGTGTAAGTACATGCAAAATAGGAGTACACAAATTACGTGGGCATAGATACAAAAAGGATGTTTAATTCAACAAGTAAACATCTAAATCATGAATTTGTTTTTTATTAAAAAAATAAAGAAGGCATTAAACGGTTTATTTGTGTAGTTTTTTACTGACTATCCCATTTCCGGTGAACGAAAGGACTAAATAATGGTTCGGTTTATTCTTGCCAAAAATTATTTACCATAAGATAAATCGTGCAGCATGGAAAAAAATTACTGGGCACACAGAACATAGAGGCTTCAATTAGACCACCGTAAGTAAGCAGAATGATCTAGGAGGGTGTAGTGACATCCAATTGAAACGTCAGCAGCCTCTACATGGTTCCCCCATTTCTGCCGATTCATCCAACTACCTTAAATTTGGAGTTTTGGGTGAGATTCATGAGTAAGTTCTGCTATTTGATCAGATCACACTTGGGAAGAGGGCATGAACGTACCTGCTCTAGGGTCTGATGGAACCACTGTTACTACATTTCAGAACTGTTGAACATAAAAAAGAGCAAAATGCGCCTAACCCTCTCTCCTGATTGTCTTTCCTGTGTCGTCATTTTCGAGTGTACATTTTCCAAAATGTAACAACCTGTTGCGAGGGGGCATGTGTGCTTTCTGCACAAAAATCAGATTGGTACCGCATTCGGTTCATCTTCAGGAGGCACTTTGATGTGAATAATGAACTTATCGAGGTGGACTAATTGCAGCTCACATGCAATTTTAAACAAAAATATTAAGTCAATGCTATTTTTGCAAAAGAAATTCGTGTTTTTTTCCATACTCTCTCGTAGTTTTCATTCACTTCCGCTAAAATAGTCGATTTTGTGTTATCGCAAATATATAATCATTGATAAGCAATTTTTCTCTTGGCTGGTAGGTGTTGTCGTATTTGCTTTTATGAATTCTCAGTCACAGATTATGTCTTAAAGAATTGGTCGACCTGATTTGTTATATCAAATTGTCTTATTATCCTGCATTATCGATTTTTTAGCTGACATCATATGATTCGAAGCAAAAAATCGATTAAGAGAAGCAGTGTTTCTTTGATGATACTCCCCATTAGAGAATAAAAATTGATTTTGAGAAGGTGATGCATAATGGAGTTAAGTTTGTTTTGTTCGTTAACCAAGACCAAGAAATAAAAGAATTGCCGAATTTTGCCGGTTTTTGTATTATTCACTTTTACATAGCGCCATGCCTTCGCTACTTCGCTGTTAATATGTAAATTTGGCATTAACGCCCAGAAAGTTATCACCCTATTGTGGCTTTCTGATTTGTCCAGCTTACCTGAAATTGATAACGACGCTATAGGCTAAAAATGTCTACCGAACCAAAAAACACGCCG